GACATTTATTGGATATGATAGGATGTATTATGGCATTTTTTCAAGACGGTGCCCACCGTGGCAGACGTCTTTGTGTGTTCCTCCTGCAACCAACGCTATTTATTATTTATTTTAACTTTAGTATTTATTTTAAAGGTACAGTATACCTTCGGAACAGTTAGTTACAGTAGAGAGGCACTCCTGGAGATCGGTAAAGTTCGAAATGAACTTACCTTTAGCCTTTCGGACTTCAACTTTCTTTTACGCTCGTACTCCACCAGCACCAGCCAGCAAGGCCCAGCAGCACCGGCCTCGGGTGAGACGTGTTTGTGGACATATTCAATCTGTCCCTCGCGCAAGCTGTTGTGCCATCCTGCTTCAAGACCACCACCATCGTGCTCCTCCCAAAGAAAAGCGTTGTGACCTGCCTAAATGACTATCGACCGATTGCACTCACCCCAATCGTGATGACGTGCTTCAAGAGGATAGTCATGACTCATATCCAGGAGACCATTCGGAACACTGTAGATCCTCTCCAGTTTGCATACCGTCGGAACCAGTCCACACGCACCTGGACGCAGTACAACACAGCCCTCACACACCTGGAGGGCAAGGACACATATGTCAGAAGGTTCTTTATTGACTACAGCTCAGCATTTAACACGGTCATCCCACACAAACTCTCAGAAAAGCTCCTCACCCTCGGACTGACATCCGCCCTCTGCAACTGGGTGCTGAACTTTCTTACAGACAGACCACAGTCAGTCAGAGTCGGCAGCCGCACATCCAGCACAAGAACAGTGAGCACAGGGGATCCCCCAGGGCTGTGTGCTGAGTCCCCTTCTGTACACGCACTTCACGTATGACTGCGTGGCCTCCCAGAACAACACCAGCATCATCAAGTTTGCTGATGATACTATAGTCATTGGACTGATCACTGGTGGGGACGAGACAGCGTACAGGAAGGAGGTGGCTGAGCTGGTGGCCTGGTGTCATGACAACAATCTATCCTTGAATGCAGACAACACCAAGGAAATGATTGTTGATCCAAGGAGGAAGTGGGAGCTGCACACACCCCTGTAAATAGGTGAGACAGAGGTGGAGAAGGTGAAAACCTTCAAATTCCTTGGCATCCACATCAGTGAGGATCTCACCTTGTCTCACAACACACACCTCATCATCAGGAAGTCCCAGCAGCGACTGTACTTTCTGAGAAGGCTGAGGAAATTTGGCATGCCAGCCAAAATTCTCAGCACCTTCTACAGGAGTACGATCGAGAGTGTTCTTACCAGCTCCATCACGGTCTGGTATGGAAACTGCACTGCTCAGGACAGAAAGGCTCTCCAGCGTGTGATCAAAACTGCGCAGTCCATCTCAGGAGCAGCCTTCCCCTCACGACAGGACACTTATCACACCAGGGTCATCAGGAGGGCCCACAACATAATCAGGGACAGTACACACCCCTAGCACAGACTCTTCACACTCCTACCTTCAGGCAGACGCTACAAGAGTGTGAAGTCCAGGACTACAAGACTGATGAACAGTTTTTATTCACAGGCCATCAGGCTTGTGAACACCTCACTCACTACCTCTTCCCCCCCCACTCTGAACTGATTTAACTTTTTGGCCGACTTTGCACTCAATAACTGCACCTTACATACACTGTGCTGCTGCTGTCAGAATACTACTGTTTACATCTATTACTTGCACAGAACACTACTGTTTACATCTGTTACTTGCAACATGCAATTTATGGACCGCTGCTCTACATACTTGCACATACACACACGTCACTTTAATTTTTTCTTTCAACTTTGCACATATAACTGTACTTTTTTACTTGTTTACTATTGTTTTTAGTGTATTTCTACTTATTTTGTGTATTTAATATATATTTTTTTACATTCCTATTTTTTTTTCTAAGATTATATTTGGTGAATGGAGAAACAGCAAAGTAAGAATTTCATTGTACAGTGTATCTGCCTGTTTCTGCTGTGCATATGAAAATAAAACTCTTGAACTGAATCTTGTGCATATTGGTGATGTTACCTTATCCCATATTTTTCACATCGTGCACACCTCCAGTCACCCTGTGATTTTAGGATGGGACTTTCTTACACAACAGAGTGCCACCCTGTAGGTACCTCATGCACATTTACAGATACATGACACTGTTGTGCATTTCTCCTCCCCACAACACTTTCCATTACAATGTGAGGCTATTGCTGCCTCCCCTGTTACTGTTCCCCCTCTGTCTGAAATGGTGATAGCTGTATTTGTTTAATTTATCTCAATGACATTATTGTACATAGTGCTGATTTTTCCCAACATCTCCAGCACTTGAAAGAGGTTTTCCAACACTTTCGTTCTGCTGGCCTCAAATTAAAGCCGTCCAAGTGTCACCCGTCTCGTTCTTCAGTCACATTCTTGGGCCGTCAAGTCTCTAGTGGAGGTGTTCGGCCTGACCCCTCTAACACTGAAAAGGTTGCATCATGGCCTGTACTTCGCTCAGCTACAGAAGTGAGAGCCTTTTTGGGTCTCTGCTCCTATTATAGGAGATTTATTAAGCAATTCTCTCACACTGCTGAACCTATGCAGCGCCTCACTCATAAAGGAGTGCCCTTCGAATGGTCTCCAGCTGCTGATGATGCCTTTAAGACACTAAAACATGCTTTGACCTCGCCACCCATTTTGGCCTTCCCCAATCTTTCCTACTGTATATGGATGCCTCCCTTCATGCCATCAGGAGTGTACTGTCTCAAAAGGTGGCTGGTAAGGAACACGTCATTGCATATGCCAGTCATACACTCTCAGTTTCAGAAAGGAAGTAGTCAACATTTGATCGCGAGCTAAACCAAGTTAATGTTACCCAACTGTCAAACAGAAACAGAGCAACTGTTCCCTTTCAATCTCTTTTCATGCCTTCAACTCTTTCAACAGCTGAAGTCAGCTTCTTTTTTGAAAGCTTCTAATTTTCTAATTCCACCTCAAATGGTGCAACAGTTACACTCTAGTTCCTCACAATAGCATTACGATTGAAACAACCAGAGTCTACACAACCAGCACAGCTAACAGGACAAAACAGTCCTACCGCTTCATGGATGGGTTTTTAAATGTACTGAAAAGCCTAGAACGGCTGACATACAATGACTTTTAAAGTTTTGCATCTTATTATATTTTCAGATCCTGCCAAAGCCGCATGTCCCATGTGTCAAACACTACGCCCATGTGCCAGATCAATCAATTCTACACAATTCTGCGCAATTCCACACCAGTTATATTACCAACATGCAAATCGGCTACCAGTTCAACCAATATGAACACTTAACATTAGCTCAGCAGCTTGAAAATTGAGCCCAGGTCTTAATGAGCTTGTGGCAAACAGCTCAAGCAAATAGGCAAGTTTAAAAGACTGAGCACCTGGGGATATTTAAATTTTGAATATTTTAAGTGCCCATGTAATATTTCAAGGTCTACTACAAGTGTCTGTATTTTACTAAGTTTTTGCGTATGTTGAATAAACAATGCCCAGTTCGGGTTACAGCACAATATTAATTAAAAATGAAATAAAAACGTTTTTTCTTCTAGCCCTCAGATTTGATGAGATTTTTTAATGTTTACTGATTCCAAAGTTCAAATGTCAGATCAGAAGCTATTATTAGTATTAATAAGTTTCATCTTATTATTTTAGTTTGAAATATACAACAGTGGTTTTCAACCTGTGGGCTGTGGCCCCCCAGTGGCCTCTGCCAGTATTGCATTTTCAATGCAAAAATACACATTTAACCATTACATCTGTAATCTTAAACATGACCAATATTGGTGATTATTTGTAAAAATAAAGCATTACATTTATATTGCACTCATTGATTATTTTGACAAACTGCAAACTAGTTTGCTCATCCTTTCAAATGAAGCTTTGAAACCTAATAATTTACACAATCGCCCAGAGACTAAACACACTGAATATGTATCTACCTGTTGAATTGAGATAGAACTACTCAGCTTTCCTCTCCTCAGTCTGACATCCAGCATTCAGTAGCTGCCAAATCATGTTAGAAGACAGACAACCTGATTGGTTAAATCCATGGAAGCTTTTGTAGTCGTTTATGTAGGCCACGAGTTGCAAAAGTTTGAAAATCCACTGTTTTATTCTGTTTACCATGGTTTTGCTGATATTCAATAACAATTCAGCTTCCAGTTACCTCAGATGGAAGGCACTCCACTCAGCTGGTCTCAACAACAATTTCTGAGTCTACCTTACAGATGAAATTGCTTTAAATCTGGCTGAACTGATCGTGTGTAATATAATTTTTCCTCAGTTATCCCACTCACAGTGCAATCTGAAGAGGCACAAATGGCAAAATGTTAGGGTTTGTTTTGAGGGCGCACTAAGTATTTACGGCTGTCTTAGTTCCTTATCATTATTATCTTACCTCACTTATAAAACACTGCTTCTATGGTTGCCAATAGCTAACATAGTACGCTTCCAGGTAATTAACCATTAGGGAGCGAAGTTGATCTTAGGTCTGCGCTCCTGCTCAAATATCAATTTCTTATAGTAGGAAAGAAAAAGAAAAGGAGGGAGATGCAAGACACAGAAGCTGATAGACATACTGTGAGAATAGGTATATTACAGTCAGGGAGTGAGGGAAGAAGTGATGAAGCAGTGCACAGAAACACAATGTAAAGTCTTTCATTAAATAACGAGTGCCCACCCAAGTCTTCCATTTAATTCAAAGCCTGGTTTGCATTACAGTCATTATTCGTGTCTCCATTTCTTCTTTATTTTATCACACACATCCAGTCTTTAACATATAGTATAGGCCCATGTTTCTCACTTTCTGTTTCTCTCTCTATGACATACAGACACATAGTGCTTTTCACACTTGGGCTTAGCAGCTGCTCTTATATTATTTCCTGTTCAGTCATTTTTACATCAATGCCATTCACACCAGCACATGAACAATTAACCTTATAGACAGTTTAGCAGTGAAGTCAGAGAAAAACAGAGAGAGAAAATGGAAGATGGAGTCTATGATGATGTGGGCAGCTTTGAGCTGAGTGAGGTGGACAGAGGAGAGAGAGTGGAGATGATGGTGGATATTTATGTGAGCGCAGACGCTGTTAGAGCTCAGGAGACCAACACACAGAGGGAAACAAAGGCACAGCAGACCAGTAGGTGCACAAACTCAGAGCATTTTACAATGAAAATGTAAAGTTTTTAAAGTCACTTTTTATTATTCGGTCTACTCTTTATCAGGTGTTAGAACAGAAATCAGATGTTCCAGACTGGCTGTGGTGTGTGTGGGGCTGCTGTGTGTTCTCCTGCTGACCACCAACATAGTGCTGAACATGTACTGTGAGTGTTTCAAACTCAAACCTTTCCTCTGTCAAATACAGATATACAGAACACACGCTTTACTGTAAGCCTTGTAATTCTTTCTCAATGCAGATACTAAAGTGAAAGAAAGCATCTATTCCCTGAGAGTAAAGTTCACTGCAGAGAGAGAGACCCTCTTATCCAGTATCAGAAACCTGACTGAAGAAAGAGACCAGCTAAAGAGCAGCTACCAGAATCTGACTGAGGAGAAAGAGCAGATAAAAAATGAGTTTGAAAAGTTAACTGAAGAAATAATCATCTTACAAACCAAACACGAGCAAATACTTTTAAAATGTATTTGTGCTCATCACTCTGTGGAAGAGAAAAGCTGTTTTAAGGACTGGAAGAAGCACAAAAGCAGCTTTTACTTTTTCTCTACTGAGCAGAAGAGCTGGAGTGCAGCCAGGCAGGACTGCAGAGAGAGAGGAGCAGATCTGGTGATCATAAACAATAGAGAGGAACAGGTGAGGAGGGAGGGAGGGAGAGAGAGAGAGAGAGAGAGAGAGAGAGAGAGAGAGAGACTTTTATTTGATTCTTGGTTTGCTATTTGTTTTTCTCAGATGTTCCTCATTGACCAAAAGAAAGGGAGGAATTTCTGGATTGGTCTGACCGATGAAGACAAAGAAAACATGTGGAAGTGGGTGGACGGCCAACCGCTGACTGACAAGTAAGCCAACAAACAACAGTCACTGACTGACTGAGTAACTGACAGATGGAAGTGTCAGTGGCTCCATTTATATACGTCAACTTACCACTTGCATGTGCTTCACATCTACGGTCAGTCATATTTGGTCAAATGTCATGTTTTGTTGATTTTCGAAGTGAAGATAACTAACACATCATCGACTAAGAACAAACACAGTTTCTATTTTTCTATTAGCACACAGTTTCTGTTTTTTAACAGATTAGAAAAAATCATTAATTAAAATATAGCTCGGACCATAACTTTTGCACATTTTGTGTTAAATTCAGCAAATAAACAGTAACTGTGCATTAAAGTGTGCAGAAGTGTGTTCTCTGTAGAGGATATTTTCACATATTTTCATTTAGAAAACAACAGATAACAAATAACAAAACACGTCACAGGGCGCCCAAACTTTTTCATGCAACTGTACATGATGCAAATGGCCACTTTAAACACAGGTGGAGGACGAGGCAGCAAGGAGCAGATTATTTGACTGGAAACTCACTCCCCATGGCAAGGTTAGCTCCAGTGAGCTCATCAGCTAGCCATGCAGACTCAGCAAAATGCTAAACTTTTTTTTGTTGTTGATAAGTTTAAACATAACATGCATCAAATAAGTGAACAAACGCTTAGTCTGGTTCTAAACTTCGCTGTAGAACAGTGATGTAGTGCCCTTGTTTTTGCTGTTGTTGGCCACATAGCCTGTAGCGTGCTAACTAGCAAGCTAGCACATAAAAAGTGATGAAGTATAGCAGATGGAGTAGTTTGTAATCTAAAGCCCAGTAAATCAAATTATACGATTTTGACATGTAAAGCATTTTAGTTCACTGCTAGGGTTAATAAACAGCTTTATGCCTCATTATTTTTGGGTTTGAAGAAGGAAATGCGTCAGATCGCAATGACTTCTGGGAAAGCTCTACTGCTGAAGTCAGTTCGTGTTCACTGGCCCCTCCGGGGGCTCATTTAGCACACTTCACTGGAGCTAGCTTGAGTAATGGAAAGACCCTTAGGACGGTGTCAGAGAGTCTCCTGAAGGTAAATGGCAAGGTGCATTAACACAGCGGTGAGTGCTGAGTAGTTACTGAGCCCGGGTTGCGTCTAACCTTGCAGTATAAATGGTATTATTTACCAAATTATTTACCAAGCCACCGATCAGGCATAACATTATGACCACCTCCTTGTTTCTACGCTCTTTGTCCATTTTATCAGTTCCCCAGTGAGTGGACAGTGAGTGGACACAGTGTTTAAAAACTTCAGCAGCACTGCTGTGTCTGATCCACTCAGACCAGCACAACACACCTACACACCACCACATCAGTGTTACTGCAGTACTGAGAATGATCCACTACCCAAATAGTACCTGCTCTGTGAGGGTCCATGGGGGTCCTGACCACTAAAGAACAGGGTAAAAGGGGGCTAACAAAGTACGCAGAGAAACAGATGGACTACAGTCTGTAATTGTAGAACTACAAAGTGCACCTATATAGTAAGTGCATCTGATAAAATGGACAATGAGCATAGAAACAAGGTCATAATGTTATGCCTATCTGTGTTTATGACCACTATTTGTACTACAATGTAAACCTGAATAGTACTTTGATGTGTTGATCACTATTTTAGAATTATTTCTTTGTGAAGAGTTTAGCTCATAGCCTCTAATGCTAGCAATTAGAAAATAAGTGTATGTTTTTATATCTTTACAATCTTAAGACAAAATGTTAAACTCACTCTACGTGTGAAACTGGGTATCACAGGTGTTGCTGCTCTCCTTTGCTAACACAGGGTGCCAATTGCACTGAAACCTTCGCTCTTTCTCAGTCTAGAAAGCCACTGCTGTCACAATTAGAGCATAAATATGACTGTACTTTTACTGTTTAAATAAAGTTTACTTGAATTAAGTTTACTACAAGAATTTACTAAACATTCTACTATTTTATTTGTAATAATATTATTTAGTAATTACATTTCATTTAGTGTTTACAAATGTTTATCCAGTTCTAGCACTGTTTGCAGAAAGACCTAAGTAACTATTGTGAAAAGGTCTGCTTGAATGTCACTTTGTAAAACATGTGGTGCCTATTCTGTCTATCCTCTATAGATGAATGCTGTGTGTGACGGTCAGATTATAGATGAATGCTGTGTTTGTTTATCAGATTCTGGAAGAAACATGAACCCAACGATGCTAATGACGTGGAGGACTGCGCTGTGTTCACCACTACAGCTGAATACGGCTGGCGAACATGGAACGATATGTCCTGCTCTGTGAGCGAAAACTGGGTTTGTGAATTCAATACAACAAAATGTCACTGAATGTCAAATTCAACTAACACTGTTAAATTACACTAACTGATATTTTAGTGAATCTGTAAACAGGTACTGTGGAAGGTTAAAGCACTGAGGTTACAGGGCTTGTTTCATGTTCCCCTTAATGCAATTAATAATTCCAGTTCTGAATGAAAACAGCCTGTAGGGGGAAAAAACTTCTAAAAATAAATTCTCTACTGATGCAAATGCAGTCGACCAGCCAAGACTTGTTTGGTGTCCACGTTTTCTTCTTTAGTTTAGAACTGGAGCTGATTTGATAAAGGTGCTAACAAACACTGGAAGTTAATAATCACCCAAAGCATATCTACAAATACACCACAAACTTTTTATATATTTGCTTTGAGTTATGTTAAAAAGTTTTGCAAACTATAAAAAAATTAATACAACGGCATGGATAGATTTTGTCACATTTAAGGTAAAATTTTAGCTAAATTATTATCCTTTCTGTTACTTTCCTGCCTTCAAACTCTGGGTAGCTGAAAGTAGAAGCATAATGTAAAATGTCACTATAAAGGTATGTAATGCTAGCACAGTAATGCCCAAGGCTTGCTTACTGTAAAAAGTCAGATGCTGAATTAGGGGTGAACGATTTGGATAAAATATGTAATTAAGAATTTTCTGGCTAATATTGCATTATTTGTTTTCCGTAAATTAAGGTTCAAGCTTTGTTTGCCAAGAAGACTAGAATATCCACTTTTTTATAGCTTAAGCCTTGAACCCCTGAATGCAGTGTGCCAGACAGCAAGTTGTGGCCGTGATGTCACAACGCAGGGAGGTTTAGTTGTCTATGATTGATCTAACTTATCTGTAGGTAGTTCACAAGCTCTGCTTTATTAGATTAAATTTCCCCAATTAAAACTTAAAATAGCATTTTTGGGCAGTTAGGCTAACTGGACATGCTAAAATTGCCCCTAGGTGTGAGTGTGAATGTGTATGTCTGTCTGTCTGCCCTGTGATGGACTGGCGACCTGTCCAGGGTGTATCCTGCCTTTTGCCCAATGACAGCTAGGATAGGCTCCAGCGACCCAGAACGATAAGCGGTTTAGATGAAGTATGTATGTATATAACATTTTTTATTATGTAGGCTATAATGAAAAAAATATGCAGCTCTGGCGATTTGAAAATTGCACTCTCTCAAATTGTGATTTTGATTTAAAACCTTTAATCTTTCAGCCCTACATTGAATATCAAATAGCAATGAAGCTACCAAAACGAGGAGCAGAGGCACAGTACCTTAGACGGAATCATCTGGCACCTGAAGCAAGTACGCCAACAAGTTCCTGTCGTAAAATGTCTCACTTGTGGTACACATTTCTTCAGGTGCATGTTCAGGTTCAAACATGTCCAACTGAGACTCATTTGAGACACGTAGTTACGGAAACAGTTTGGGTGAATATTGACTTCCAGATTTTGTTAGCAACATTAGCGTAACAGCTCCTGTTCTAAACTAAAGAAGCAAAAAATTTACACTAAACAAGTCTTGGCTGATCAACTGCATTTGGCGTAAGTGGGAAATCATGTAAATCTGATTTTTGCTAAATTTTTCCTAAGTGAAAGTGTGAGTACGGTATAAAAATCTTACTCTGTTGAAAGTGGAAGTATGGAGCCAAAAATATTTGAGTGAAAGTGAAAATTTAAACATTCACAAGTATATAAAGGTAAAATGTAAATGTTTTAAGAAATAAATAAAATAAATAAAAGTTGCTGCGTGTGATGCCATGTCCAGTGGGCAGTACTGTTGCTTACTAAAGACATGCAACTTGAACCAAGCCTGATAGCACCTGAGAAAATATCGGGCTCAGGGTGATTTTTACATAAAACATCGGGCTCGGATTGAACACTGGATGATCTCCGAAATTGCATTGAAAGAGCCGTGAGTTCAGTGACACCCGACATGCTCAATCGAGTATGGGATGAATTTGACTATCGTGTTGATGTTGTCTGTACAGAACTTTATGCTCACTTAAACCATTTACAATTTACTGCATTGTTCTGTAGTGATTTACGAGTGAAATAAATCATTTTGAAATCGGATAAATCTTTTTGAATCACGCTGTAGTAACAAAGTGCAATTGCATTAGCCTGTATTAGGGCTGTACAATAAATCACATTTTTATTGTTATCGCTATAGGAGTTTCCGTGAATAAACTCATCATTAGAGCAGTGAAGACAGACAGTTCAAATTACTTCATACATGCAGCGTCAGAGAGACGTCACTACATTACCGGCACAAACCGCTAGAAGCCTTATGAGTGGTTCTCTGCTCTGGGATTGAATCCCACGCAGCCCTGCTGGTGACATCCCATATAAAAAAAATAGAGCGCGGCCATGCCATATTAATGCATGGGAACGAAATCCTAATGCATGGCCATGACTTAGTATGGTGTGGGAACAAGATAATTAAGTTGTGGCCATGACTTAGTGAGGCGCCCTCAAGAAACTCAGGAGAGTCAAGGGTCTGGTCCATGTTGCAGCTTTACTGAAAAACTCAAGGACAAACAGCAGCTCTGTGCTTCGCTTTTTCAGAGCTTTTCAGAACACAGTCTAGCTCGAACTGTTAGCGTAGGTCTACTTTACCACTCACTCTTTGAAGCTTGCTGCAGCAATGCCTAGTCCATACTCGCCCCAGCTCTGAGAATAAAAGTCCACAAGTGCCCACACATAAGGTTTCTAATAAACTAAATTAACCTAAACCTGGCATTAGACTCTTTTTAGAACTGCATATAAATGAATGAATTTAAAACTGAACTTATTATTTTTGTTGTAAGTCAACAAAAATAAAATGAAACAAAAATGTGTACTTGCTCTTGTGTGCCTCTATAAAAAACAGATACTTATCTATTTGATAGATATTTATTTGTTTTTGTAGCCTTTACACTAAAAGCTGTCAGGGTAAGGCTGACTGTTTCTCAGCCTTTCAGTGCACAACAAATCTGCTTGCACTGCGACACAGTTATCTTGCTCTGTATTGGTTCATTCATCTCATTCATTACACATCTCATTCAGCTCAGTTTAGCTCAGATATAAATAGACATATAAGTATATTTTAGTACTACTGTAATCCTTTTTCATAGGAGTTATGGCTTCTCTAAGTAATCTCTGTAAATAAGTAAGTGAAGCTGGTGTTGCGCTCTGTGTCTTTGTGTGAACAGGAAGCAATTTCTGAGTGTGAATGTAGTTTTAGTGTGAATGACATCCTTCAGTTTTTCTTTAAAAGTACCTTTTAGGTAAAAAAAATAAAAAGTTTTTAACATACTTAAAAATAAGAAACTTGATATTTAATAGCTATTTATGTATTTTGCTTAGAGAACTAGTGTTTTTTGCTATATCATGTTAAAGCGACATACACTGAAAAAAGCCCAGGGTGCTCCTTTGTACTTATTTCCTGTTTAAAGGGTATTAATAAACCGCATCACATAATGCTGCTGCAGAAGAGACAGCTTAATATGTAATCAGTCAGAAAGTCAGAGAACCTATGAAGATGTGGGCAGCTTTGAGCTTTGTAGTTCTACAATTACAGACTGTAGCCCATCTGTTTCTCTGCATATTTTGTTACTCTCCTTTCGCCCTGTTCTTCAATGGTCAGGACCCCCATGGACCCTCACAGAGCAGGTATTATTTGGGTGGTGGATCATGGAGTTTTTAAACACTGTGTCCACTCAGTGAGGGCCTGAAATAACAGCCAATAAGCACTGTTTTTTGGTCTTGTCCCTTGCATACAGAGATTTCTCCAGATTCTCTGAATCTTTTGATGATATTATGTACTGTAGATGATGGAAAGCAAAAGTTCTTTGCTATTTTATGTTGAGAAACGTTATTCTTGAATTGTTGCAAATGATTTGCTCACACAGGCTGTCACAGAGTGGTGAACCCCTCCTTATCTTTACTTCTGAAAGACTCAGCCTCTCTGGGATGCTTTTTAGTACCCAGTCATGTTGCTAACCTGTTGCCAATCAACCACCAGGTGTTTACCAGTCTTTTGTTGCCCCTGTCCCAACTTTTTTTGGAACATGTTATTTTTGCATCAAATTCAAAATGGACATATATTTTCAAAAAACAATACAATTTCTCAGTTACAACATTTGATAAGTCTGTACTATTTTCAATAAAATCTATGGTTTAAATGATTTGCACATCATTGCATTTTGCACAGCCTCCCAACTTTTTTGGAAATGGGGTTGTAGATGTAAAGTCAAGTATAGTAGCTCATCTGTTTGTGCACAGTTTGTGTTGGTCATCCTCTAGTCCTTAATTAATGGTCACAGGACACTGCCCACAGGACATTGTTGGCTGGATATGTTTGATTGGTGGACTATTCTCAGTCCAGCAGTGACACTGAAATGTTTAAAACCTCCAGCAGCACTGCTATGTCTGATCTACTCATACTAGGGCAGCACACATTCCATCACCACGCTGCCAGCACCACGTCAGTGTCACTGCAGTGCTGAGAATGACCCACAAACCATATAATATGTGCTCTGTGGGGTCCTGACCACTGAAGAACAGGGTAAAAGGGGCTAACAAATTATGCAGAGAAACAGATGGATTACAGTCTGTAACTATATAACTACAAAGTGCACGTATATGATAAGTGGAGATGATAAAATTGACAAATAGTGTTAAAACAAGGAAGTAGTGTTAATGTTATGGGTGATATATGTGTATCCCATAACAAAAGTCAGGTAAAGTACTACAGGACTGAGCCAGTCAGACCCAGCTCAAGACTGGCCCTATTCTCCTCAGCTCTGATATCACTGTTGAACACCCATTTCTATCCACTTTGCAGCTCTTTCACAGATATATTTTGGTCAAAAGATGTGCCTGTGTATTTTTAAAAGACATCCCATACCATGACAGAGGGCAGACTGTTGTTTTCTACCCATTTTCAAAGATAGCAATAATTTTTCAGCGTTGGATTCATCCATGTGATAAACAGGGGTGTGACTAGTCTCTACCAAGACTGTAAAAATGATTTGCCATATATA